AGGCTACATCCCCTATCCTGAAGAGGTAAGTGGGCTTGCGGGGTGTTCCTCTGCAGAAAGACTGGTTGCAGACCCAGCTCCTAATTCTTCTCCTGGAGAGTCTTCTCCATCCCCAGCCCCTTCCTCCCTACCCTGAATGTCTGCGCTGCAGTCTCCCATGCCAGTCCTGCATCTTCCCCTCTTGCAGAATGAGCCCTGGACCCACGGAGGCAGCATGAGTCCCCAGAACAGCACGGGGAGCACTCAGGACAGCGATAGCTGGGCCTCGTCCCACTCCTCTGACTGCCACGGCCTGACAGACGATGGGAGGAGCAGGAACACCGTGGCCCGGGGGGCTGTGGACAATAGCCTGCTCGTGAGCTGCCCTACCTTCCCCACCAGCTTCTATGATGTCCGGCCCCAGCAAACCAAACGGAAGAAACCACCAGCAAAGAAACTCATTTTGGAACAGGAGGTGGAGAAGAGGGTGCCGCTGAGCACTGGGAAGGGCTTTGGGGCAGAGCAGGACGGGGTGAAGGAGCTGGCTGCGCTGGTGGGACAGATGCCTCCCATGAAAGAGCAGCTCTTGGAGCCTTCCCTCAACCCAGCTGGGGACCCCCAGCCCAACTCCCTCCTGGAGGTGCTGATGAAGGAGGAGAAGGACTGGATGCACGGAGCGCAGGGGACCGAGAAGCCAGCAGGAGATGATCCTCAGCTAAAGGAGCACGACCCCTGCTCTGGAGGGAGGAAAAGCCCCAGTTCTTGTAGTACCTTGGACCAAAACGAAGGGGAAGATGCAAGCAGAGGGAGCTCCCAGCTTAGTGGTGAGTGTCTGAGGGAGCGCAGAGGGCCCTGTTGTGCTGCGGCCAGTGCTGAATATTGTCCCTCCCTCAGCTGGGGCCACCCATGCTGGCTGCAGGGAGGGCTTGTCGATGGCCCAAGCCTCTCCCAGCAAGAGGATTACCTTTGGGACCTGGGAGGACTGAAGAGCAGAGGGCAGGGAGCTGGCCTGCCCTTTGGCAGCTCTGTTCTGCAGAGCGAGCAGTACAGACCTGTAATGTGTCTGAAGTGGGGTGTAGGGGCACCTTGCTCATCTGGTCTTTATTTTTTTCTCTTTTTTTTTCCCCTCCCTTTTGCAACTTTAGCAGTCGAATTCGCAGCAGCTCCCAACACCAAAGCAGAAGGTGAGTGGGGGGCTGTCCTATTTAACACCAGTGGAACTGGCTAGTCTGGCCACAGCCAGATCTGCAGCTGGTAAGGTGGTTTCTGACCAGTGTCTCTCTCCCTGACCAGATGATGATGCATGGGATCTGATCACCTGCTTCTGCCTGAAGCCCTTCGCAGGGAGGCCCATGATTGAATGTAACGAATGTGCTACCTGGATCCACCTCTCTTGTGCCAAGATCCGCAAATCCAACGTGCCTGAGGTTTTCATCTGCCAGCGATGCCGTGATGCCAAGCAGGAGATTCGCCGCTCGAACCGAGCTCGGACGGTGCCCCGCAAGCGCTTCTGTGACTGAAGCTCCTCTGGAGCAGGGAGGCCGGGGGTCCCCTTTTTAAAGTGAAGACTGTAGCCCGGTTTGGCTAGACAATCAATGCACAGTAATGGCAGGGGAGGGGCCGGGGCGGGGGGCTGGACTGTCCCCCTTGCACTTCTGACTCCTGGAAGCTGCCACCCGCGTCCTCCTTGGGGATCGCGTTGACCATGGAGCTCAGTTACCCCAGAGATGTGGGGGGGAGAGGAGGGTGGTCCAGCCGCGCGCTAGGTCACTCGGAAACATCTCTGTCCTCGCACAAAGCTGGCTCAGTGCCTTTCCCTCAGGGCAGCCGAGGAGAACCTAGTCCAAGTAGTTTTTCTGTGGTGTGGTGGAAGCTTACACTTATCCCAAGATGTGACTCCCCTTCCTCCTTTTTCCTCACCATTTTCCTTTCCTTGCCTTGGACCTTTGGGTGGGCTGCGATGGCAAAGCCCCGGTGACCCAAATTCTCCTCCAGCAAGTAGGTGCAGCGCAGGCGAGCGAGCTTCACGTAGTGTGCTGCCCTCCAGGGCGGGAGGGGAAGGGACGTTGGTCCTTCTGATGCCTGAAGCAGACTGGGGCTCTGTGTCTTGGTATTGGTGGAGCCATCCATCTCTGGCTCATCAGCCTTGTAGGCTGCACAGGGGAGGTCGTTCCCCTGGCCCGTGGTGCTCCTGGTTTTGTTTGCTGTGCCTGCAGCCCCAGGATAGTCCTGTTGGGTCAGGAGCAGCAAAGGCATCCTCTGGTAGATGATTACAAAGGCTGTTCTTGCTGAGCAGTCCCCCTTGATTCACCTTCTCCAGTTGCACTGAAGTCTCCTGTGTGAAAGGGGGGTGGGATTCCTGGTAGGAGACTGAGCAGTTATCCTTGGAGCTGGCTGTGGCAGGGCTGGGAGCCCTTTGGAAGGGGAGCAGGAGAGTGCTCTGGTTAGCTTTCCATGTTTTCCGTTTCCAGTTTAAAACAACTGAAGCTTGACCCCTGTGGCCATCTCCTGCCTGCAGGGCTGTCTGGTGGAGCATCTGCTTCAACACCAGCTGGATGCTGAGACCTGAGCTCAAGTGGAGCCTGGAGCTGGGAGGGCCTTCCTTCCCAGCACTCCCTCCATCACAGAAGTTGTTTTTTTTTCCTGGACATATAGAGTGAAACCTAGTGACTTATCAAGAGTGGGCCCTGAGCCCCTTCTGCTATGCAACTGCTGCTCTGGAGACATGGGCCATGCTTTCTCCAGGCCCCTGGTTAAGTTTGGCAGTGGAAGGCTTCCCCCCCTCCGCCCCCCGTGTCCCCTGTGTGCGGTGTGTGTGTGTGATCTCCTGGGGCCCCACGTGCAGTAACTGTTGGATCCCACCTCCTCCTCACAGCCCCTCCAAAGAGCCTGGCCCATGTGCCTTCTGCACTTTCCCTGGGGGATGCAGACGCCGCTCCTGTCCTGGTGACACTCGGCTCGGCCCTGGCATGCAGCGGGGAGTGGGACAGCCCCCACTTGCCAGTCCCCATGACTATATTTCTTAACTGGGTTCTTTCCTACTTGCACATCTGGTTACTGTGGGACCACAGCTGGGGGAGGGTGTGGGGCAGCCCCCTGTCACTCAGCAGCCCCCAGGCTCGTCCCTGTGCCTCTCTCCTCCTGTGGAAAGCCTGGGCCCCAAAAGTGCTTTATGTTTTTATAGTTACTTTGTATTGATATGTAAAATAGCAAATTCTGGTCCTTGCCCTGTGGAGTGTGGCTGGAGTCTTATGTATATAATAAAGTACTTTTGCCATAATGGTGGTGGCTTTGGCAGAGTTCGGTGGCCTTGGGTCTCATGTCCCTTTGGGACCCAAATGCTCCTCTGCTCCCCTTCTGCTGTGGCTGGGAGGGGATTTGGCATGGGGATCCCACCCAGCCCTGTTCCCCCACCCAGGTAAACGCCGAGCTGCACAAACAACAGGGAACGAGTGGGCCAGTGCATATTGTATTTAATAGAGCGATGCCCACCTCCCCACCCTGCTGTGGTGCATGGGGCTGCTCCACAGGAACGTCCTCTGGAGCTGCGTGGGCTTGGGGACAACCTCTTCAACAGGCACTGTCTTCCAGAGGCTGCAGCCAACTCATTGTGAGCATCATGGATTACTCCAAAGAAGCAGCGGGTCCGATGGCTCGGGGAGGGTGTCCGCACACCCTTGCTGCGACTCTTAAGGCACATCACTATTTAGCTCAAAAACTGTTTTGCTCTTGGGCTCTGACAAACCTTTCCTGGCTCTGTCTCCACTCTGGAGTGGAGTTACGATTTAGTCCTGACAGCAGTTGAGGTTCCAAAGGATCCAGTTTTCTCCATAAAGTAAGTCTGTTATTCCAGCACAGAGGCATCACTGGCTTCCCCTGCAGATCCGGAGATGTGCCAGCTTCCATCGGGCAGTGCCGTTGGGTCAAATGGGGGATGCAGTGAGGGGGACAGAACAAGAAGGCACTGGGGGCTAAGCACTGGCCTGGCTGGGGCAGGAAGAAGTCACAGTTTGAGGGGACCCTTACCAAAGTGGGGTCCTGCTGGTGCGTCGTTTCAGTCCCGAGGCAGTTGCATTGGGGCAGAGACAGCGAGCGGTCCAAGAACAACAGCAAAACCGGGCGTAATTTCTATGCTAGGGGCCAAAGCTGGGTTTGTGCAGCCGAGCGAGCATCCTGGTGAGCCATGCAGGGGGGTCTACTCCTCCTTGGCCCAGACGGAGCCACCCGTCTTCCCCTCCAGGTGGGGAATCACCGCTTCGGTGTAAAACTTCTCCAGCTTGGGCTCCGTCTGCCCCCAGAACTTGGCATCAAACTCCACGGGGACCACAGCCGTCTCCTTGGTGGTGTGCACCACGAAGTCAGCCTGCTGCAAGCCGGTGGCTGCCAGCTGGCACTGGACCTGGGTGAAGTAGGGATGATCCTTCTTCAGGGCGTAGGAGTCCCCGTCCACCTCCAGGCAGAAGCCCTTGTCCTTGCAGGCCTCACGCACCGCACTGTTCCTGTGCTTGTAGTGACACTTCACCCTTGTCCTTGCAGGCCTCACGCACCGTCCTGTTCCTGTGCTTGTAGGGACACTTCACCTCCAGCAGCCCCAGGGCCTTCCCCGTGGCCGCCTCCTTGATGATGCCGTCCGGGCTGGCGGCGATCCACCTCTTCTCCTGGTGAATGAAGAGGCCGCAGTCCTCCACCTGCACTGGCTTGCCCACCGCCTGTGACTTCAGCTGCTCGTAGGCCCGCACGGCCTTCTCCTCGTTGCGGAGCCCCCAGGACATGGCTGGGGTCTGCACCCTGGGGCTGGAGCTCACCACCGCTTTCAGATAGGACTGGGGGACCTCAGTCGTCTTGCCGTTGGCGAACTTG